TCAGTCCTCTTCAAAATTTAATCCCTTGGAACCAATTGGCCTGGATTGATTCTGGGGAAGGGGACAGGACTTGTACATTTCATTGACTGTCATGTGGGTGATTTTGAGTTCTGATTCTGACTTAGCTTTCACTAAGAGAAAACTAGTATGTTTCAGTTAATATATTTCCCCTGTCAAAACACATATGGGTCTGTAGAATGTCCACCAAACCTCATCTGTTCACTGCATCCACTAGCCCAACATAATGAATTCCAAAGACCAGAATGGCAGGAATAGAGGAATCATGCTAAAGACCCAGACATGGAAAACTGAACTGAGAAAATGATTTCCCTATGTACCATATAGCTAAGAAAATAAATATTTGTCAGACTTAACTATTGTTACCCCTTCAAACTTAAACGGATGCAGGATACATCCAGAAGCAACTTCGTTTATATTCTCCTTGAGGGTGCCCAAGCATCGCTGATAATCAATAATCCTCCTGTTATGATGGTTGGGTTTATATGTCAATTTGACTATAGTTCCCAGTTACTCAATCAAACACTAATGTAGGTGTTGCTGTGAAGGTACTTCACAGATGGGATTGCTGTCTATAATCAGTTGATTTTAAGTAAAAGAGAATTTCTTGGATAATCTGGATATGGCCGATTCAATGAGTTAAAGAGCCTTGAGGGCAGGACTTACCTGAAAGTAATGTACCCTGTGTGTCAGTTGAGTAGAGTTACACTCAAATAAAAAATTCTTTTAATCTGCTAAAACTGAAATAATTTACAGCCTTCCATCAACAACTTCTAAGAGAGCTGTTTTCACTAGTCCTATATAAACAAAAGGACAAAAGAGCATTACTTGACTAGACCTGATTGTTTAGACCCTAAAGAACCAGATGACTATCTTGGTTTAATTTAAAAGTATTGGTGGGAAGGTTTCAACTTATATTACAAAGCTTAAGTAATCAAAACAGTATGGTATTGGCACAAAAACAGACACATACACCAATGGAACAGAACAGAAAACCCAGAAGTAAATTCACAATTATATGGTCAATTAATCCTTGACAAAGCAGGAAGAATAGCTAACGGGAAAAAGATGTCTCTTCAACAAATGGTTTTGGGAAAACTGGACAGCTATATGCAGAAGAATGAAACTAGACCACTTTCTTACTCCACACACAAAAACAAACTTGAAATGGATTAAAAACCTAGATGTAAGGCCTGAAACCATAAAAATCCTAGAAGAGAGCACAGGCAGTAATGTCTCTGACATCAGCCAAAGCAACATTTTTGTAGATATGTCTCCAGAGGCAAGGGAAATAAAAGCAAAAATAAACTGTTGAGACTACATCAAAATAAAAATTTTCTTCACAGTGAAGGAAACAACAACACTAAAAGACAACCTACTGAATGGGAGAAGATATGTGCAAATGACATATCCAACAAAGGGTTAGTGTTCAAAAGATGTAAAGAACTTCTACAACTCGACAGCAGAAAAACAAATAATCCAATTTAAAAATGGGCAGAAGACATGAACACATGTTTCTCCAAAGAAGACATCCAGATGGCCAACAAACACATGAAAAGACACTCAACATCACTCATCATCAGGGAAATGCAAATTAAAACCACAATGAGACATCACTTTACACCTGCCAGAACGGCAAAAATAAAAAACACAAGAAACAACAAGTGCTGATGAGGATGTGGAAAAAAGGAATCCTCATGCACTTTGGTGGGAATGCAAACTGGTGCAGCCACTGTGGAAAACAGTATGGAGGTTCGTTAAAAAATTAAAAATAAAACTACTCTATGGGCCAGTAGTGCACTACTCCATATTTACCCAAAGAATAGGAAAACACCTATTTGAAAGGATATATGCACCCGTATGTTTACTGAGGCATTATTTACAATAGCCAAATTATGGAAAGAGCCCAAGTGTCCATCAACAGATGACAGGATAAAGAAGATGTGGTATGTGTGTGTGTGTGTGTGTGTGTGTGTGTGTATGGATATCATAAAGCCATAATGGAATATTATTCAGCCATATAAAGGAATGAAATCTTGCCATTTGCAGTAACATGGATGGGTCTAGACAGTATAATGCTACGTTATATAAATCAGTAAGAGAAAGACAAACATCATATCATTTCACTCATATGTGGAATTTAAGAAACAAAACAAATGAACAAAGGGGAAAAAAAGAGACAAACCAAAAAACAGACTCTTAACTATAGAGAACAAACTGATGGTGACCAGAGGAGAGGTGGGTGGGGGGATAGATGAAATAGGTGGAGATTAAGAGAACACCTACCTTGATGAGCACTGAGTAATAGATGGAATTGTTAAATCACTATATTGTATACCTGAAATTAATTTAACACTGTAAGTTAACTATACTGGAATTAAAATAGGCCTGATGTTTGACCAGAAGTCAAAAAATAATTGTAAACGGGAATGGGTGAGGAACTAACATTAACTGAATGCCGACTATATGCCAAGTCCTGTGCTGGAATTTTTCCATGTACCCCACTGACCCACACAACAC